TTTTTGGGCTGTGGTGGGAAAGATGCGAGGAGCTGTCAGGTTAGCCGCACCGAAAGTTTGCGTTCCAGGAATGAACTCAGAGCTGGCTGAGGGAGGGCTCAGGGGGCTTGAAAGGCAGAGTAAATAACACAGTAAAGGATCAGAACCCCCAGTAAAACAACAGCCCACAAGGCCATGCTGATGAATGAATGGCAACGGAGGGGAAGTCTTTCTTTCAGCACAAAGTCAATCCATGATCATCAGAGTGAGGGAATGAGAAGCCACCATGTGGCAACCATCACAATAATCCCAATCACAACAGTGTCACCAAGAGACACTAAAACTACTGAGTAAAAGCTTAGAAACGGCCGGGCGCGGTGGCTCACTCCTGTAATCCCAGCACTTTGGGAGGCTGAGGTGGTGGATCACAAGGTCAGGACATCGAGACCATTCTGGCCAACACAGTGAAACCCCATCTCTACTACAAAAAAATTAGCCAGGTGTGATGGTGCGCACCTGTAGTCCCAGCTACTCAGTGAAGCTGAGCCAGGAGAATCACTTGAACCCAGGAGGCGGAGGCTGCAGTGAGCGGAGATCGCGCCATTGCACTCCAGCCTGGGCGACAGAGCGAGACTCCGTCTCAAAAAAAAAAGCTTAGAAACAAGAGGCTATGTAGTCTCAAGATAGATCCAGCCCTATGAGACACGTGTCAATCACAGAGGGAGACTATGCACACACGATGGGTAGAACAAACACGTCCTGCGAGGAGACGGCAGGGCGGGGAGGGGGCGGCAGCTGTCCTCCCAAGACAGGAGGACTTCTAGTTCAGTCTGAGACCTCGGTGCAGGGCTGGGCGAGTAAACAAATGCAAAAGAATAAGGACCTCGAAACAGGCCTAGCATATGCTGGCCGGACGCAGTGGCTCACGCCTGTAATCCCAGCACTTTGGGAGGCAGAGGCAGGCGGATCACCTGAGGTCAGGAGTTTGAGACCAGCCTGGCCAACATGGCGAAACCCTGCTAAATAGAAAAATTAGCTGGACATGGTGGCGGGTGCCAGTAGTCCCAGCTACTCAAGAGGCTGAGCTGAGGCACAAGGATTGCTTGAACCTGGGAGACGGAGGCTTTAGTGAGCTGAGATTGCACCACTGCACCCCAGTCTGGGTGACAGAGTGAAACTCTCTCAAAAAAAAAAAAAAAACAAACAAACAGGTCTGGCGTGTGCAGAATGGAGGCACCACCAATTGTTGAAGCAGCAAGCCTTATTCAGTCTATGATACCAGGCAGCTGTCCACGCCAGGGGAAAAGAAAAACCGGATTCTGATCCCGTATCAGTAGACACACGGCGACAACGAGTAACACGGACGCAGCCCTGACTCTGCTGCTGGAGGGTCCGAGGCCCTCTGCACAGCGGTGAATCCACACAATAGCCCTCTGGGGAAGGTGCTGTTATCACCACGTGAGACACACAAAGGTAAGACAGGGCTTCACAGCAGCCGCGTCAGGATTTGAACCCAGGTGGCCTGTTCTTATGAGAAACTTAAATGTGTAAAACTTTATGCTGGCGGGGCGCGGTGGCTCACACCTGTAATCCCAGCACTTTGGGAGGCCGAGGCGGGCGGATCATGAGGTCAGGAGATTGAGACTATCCTGGCTAACACGGTGAAACCCCATCTCTACTAAAAATAAACAAAATTAGCTGGGCGTGGTGGCGGGTGCCTGTAGTCCCAGCTACTCAGGAGGCTGAGGCAGGAGAATGGCATGAACCCGGGAGGCGGAGCTTGCAGTGAGCCGAGATTACGCCACTGCACTCCAGCCTGGGCAACAAAGCAAGACTCCGTCTCAAAAAAAAAAAAAAAAACACCAAACTTTATGGTCAGGAAAATATAAGGGAATGTCCTCCTGACTCTTTTTGGGGTAGGACAATAATTTCTCTAATCAAACCCCAAAAGCATGACCCATTAAAAAAAGGGTCAGGTGGACTAAATTGGCTAAACGAAGAATTCTGTTTCACCAAAGTATACCACAAAGTGGGCCGGGAGCAGTGGCTCACACCTGTAATCCCAGCACTTTGGGAGGCCAAGGTGGGTGGATCATGAGGTCAGGAGCTCGAGACCAGCCTGACCAACATGGTGAAACCCTGTTTCTACAAAAATACAAAAATTAACCAGGTGTGGTGGTGTGCACCTGTAATCCCAGCTACTCAGGAGGCTGAAGCAGGAGAATTGCTTGAACCCAGGAGGCGGAGGTTGCAGTGAGCCAAGATCGCGCCACTGCACTCCAGCCTGGGTGACACGGAGAGACCCTGTCTCAAAAAAAAAAAAAAAATGGCCGGGCGCGGTGGCTCAGGCCTGTAATCCCAGCACTTTGGGAGGCCGAGACGGGTGGATCACGAGGTCAGGAGATCAAGGCTAACACGGTGAAACCCCGTCTCTACTAAAAATACAAAATTAGCCAGGTGTGGTGGCGCATGCCTATAACCCCAGCTGCTCGCACAATTGCACTCCAGCCTGGGCAACAAGAGCAAAACTCTGTCTCAAAAAAACAAAACAATACAAAACAAAAAAACAAAAAAATATATATATACATACCTCAAAGTGAACTGAACAGCCACAACCTGGGAAAAGACACTTACAACATGACAAAGGATTAATATGCAGACTGTATAAAGAATTCCTACAAACCAATTAGAAAAACAGGCAAAAAAAAAAAAAAAAAAAAAAAAAGTCGGCCGGGCATGGTGGCTCATGCCTGTCATCCTGGCACTTTGGGAGGCTGAGGCGGGCAGATCACCTGAGGTCAGAAGTTCAAGACCAGCCTGGCCAACATGATGAAACCCTGTCTCTACTAAAAATACAAAAGTTCGCCAGGTGTGGTGGTGGGGGCCTGTAATCCCAGCTACACAGGAGGCTGAGGCAGGAGAATCGCTTGAACCTGGGGGGCGGAGGCTGCAGTGAGCTGAGACTGTGCCATTGCTCCAGCCTGGGCAACAGAGCAAGACTCCGTCTCAAAAAAAAAAAAAAAGAAAAAGAAAAAAAACATATTTCACAGATAATTTATTTCTTTTTGGAGAATGAGTTTCGCTCTTGTTGCCCAGGCTGGAGTGCAGTGGCACCATCTCAGCTCACTGCAACCTCCATCTCCCAAGTTCAAGCGATTCACAGAGGACAACTTTTTTTTTTTTTTTTTTTTTGAGACGGAGTCTCACTCTGTCACCCAGGCTAGAGTGCAGTGGCCGGATCTCAGCTCACTGCAAGCTCCGCCTCCCGGGTTCACGCCATTCTCCTGCCTCAGCCTCCCCAGTAGCTGGGACTGCAGGCGCCCGCCACCTCGCCCGGCTAGTTTTTTGTATTTTTTAGTAGAGACGGGGTTTCACAGGGTTAGCCAGGATGGTCTCAATCTCCTGACCTTGTGATCCACCCGTCTCGGCCTCCCAAAGTGCTGGGATTACAGGCTTGAGCCACCGCGCCCGGCACAGAGGACAACTTCTAAAAGGCCAATAAAAAGAACAAAGGGTACATGTCCCTTCTCTACTGCCCTGTAACAGTCACTCCACGCTTACCAGCTCAAAACAACAAATGCTTTTGATGTCGGCTCCTGTGGTGCAGGAATCTGTGGGAAGCTTAGCCAGGCGCCTCTAGCTTAAGGCCCCTCCTGAAACTGCAATCACACCGTGGACCAGGGCTGTGGCCTCATCCGAAGGCTCAGCTGGGGCTGGGGTCCACCTCTGAGCTCAATGACGTGGATGCTGGCTGGGTTCAGTTCCTTGCTGGCTATAGGTGGAAAGGCCCCAGACCAGTTTCTTGCCAGTTTCTCCACAGGACACCCCACAGCCTGACAGGAGCTTTCATCCAGCAAGCTCATCAGGGAGGGGGAGACAGCAGCCAGGACAGGAGCCCTGGCCTTTCTGAACCTCATCTCAGAAGTGACATCCTTCCCTTCCGCTGTCTGGACAAGGGTCCCCGGGAGGAGCCCGAGGACTAGAAGGAAAAGAAAACCTGGATTTAAAATGGGATAAAGCCACAGGAGCTGCTCGTCCCACCACAGGAATCTGAGCGCCGGATTATGACAAAGCGTCACTTTGCACCCTGTCCAACTGTGCAGACCTCTCCTAGCCAGGCCCCTGCACCAGAGGTTAACAATCCGTGCCCCTGGTCAGGAAGTCCAGGTGGGTTCAAACAGCCAGAAGGGCATTTCAGGCAAAACGTGTCCCAAATCTTCAAACCATGCCCCGGAACTCAGACCTCCCCCTGGGAGTTCCTCCCAAGGAAACCATCTGGCAGAGGCTCAGGCTGCAGGGGGACACTCCCTTCCAACACCCGGAAGCTGGAGACCACACAAGTGCCCAACGCCAAAGGCACCCCGAGGAGGGTGCCCTGTGCCCCCCCCGCCCAGGTAACCCACTGCGCCCTACACATCTTCACCAGGAAACATCTGTTACAGATGTGGACGAAGCGCAGCCTGGACTCCCAGATCCGCTCATTTTCGTTCTGCCCTCCGTTTTCTGATTTGCCTACACTGAAAATGCGTGAGTGGCGTGGAAAACCTTCCTACTCCTGCCTCAGCGACCCTTCCTAAAACACGGGCTCGTGTGGCCTGAAAATGTGACGTGCAGGCTTCCTGAGCAAAGTAGGTTACGCTCCATTAAAAAACAAACAAAGAACTAAAAAGCCACCGAACGGGAGCTCGGCTGTCGGGAGATTTTTGCTTTTTTTTTTTGTGGCCACGCACACCGCGTTCCCGGGTTTCAGGGCGTGGGGGTCGCCGTGGACTCCCGAACGTGAAAACAAAGCCAGCTCGCAAAACGCCACCAGCGTTTTCCGCGCACAGCGCCCGCCGTAGGAAAGGACCCCCCCGGAGCCAATCCGGGCAGGGGAACCCCGGGCGCCCGCGCACTCAGCATCAGTACCGGCACCCGTCACCCAGCACCCATCACCCAGCACCGACCTCGCAGCACCCAGCACCCAGCACTCAGCACCGAGCACCGAGCACCGAGCACAGCACCCAGCACGCAGAACCCACCAACAGCCTGATGCAGTCTCCGCCGCAGGCATAGCGCTGGGCCCCGCCGCCTTCACAACAAAGGGACGCCGGCGGGCGGGGCCTGAGAGGCGCGCGCTGGAGGGGCCGGATGCGAGGCCGCGGAGGGGGCTCGGAGCTCGGCTATGGGGAGTGTCACAGGGCGGGCGGACCCAGGTGGGCTTCACGGGGCGCCCGCGGGGCCGAAAATGACGCGCAGAACCCGGCATCGGGCTCCTCGCTGCCCCGCGGGCGCCGCCCCTCAGTGCCCGGAGCCGGGGAGCGGGGAACCGCGCCGCGGCCCACAACGCCCCCGCCGCTACCCGTTGGTTCCGCCCGGGCCGTTCTACTCCAGGCAGACTGGGGGTAAAACACGGCGCGCTCAGCGCCCCTCCCCGTTGGTTCCGCTCGGGCCGTTCCACTGCAGGCAGATGGGGGGGATGGAAACAGGAGTTTTTAGTGCCCTTCCGCGGCCGCCCGTTGGTTCCGCCGGGGCCGTTCCACTGCAGGCACACGGTGGGGACACGGCGCGCCTACTCCCCGCGGCCGTCTGTTGGTTCCACTGTAGGCGCACGGGGAGGGTTGGGGGGAGACACACGGCGCGCTGAGTGCTCCCTGCGGCCGCGCGGTTGGTTCTGCCCGGGCCGTTCCACTGCAAGCAGAGGGAGGAGGAAGACGGTGAGCTCAGTACACCCCCGCGGCCTGTTGGTTCCTCCCGGGCTGTTCCACTGCAGGCACATGGGAGGGGGAAACAGCGGCCCCCACCCCCGCGGCAGCCCGTTGGTTCCGCCCGGGCTGTTCCACCGCCGGCACTTCAGGGCGGGATCGGCCAGTCTGTGGAGGCCGCTCTCTAAGCCCCAGAGGCCCCAGGTTTGGGTTCAAGGAATAAGAAATCCACTGAATACGCTTAACTTAGAAGACACAAAAGCGCCTCTTGGCGGAAGGAGCTCCGCCCAGCCTGACGGAAAGCTGCTGGGGGGCGGGGCCGCCGCGCGGGGTGAGGACTCGCATCAGGGCGCTGATTGGCTTGTGGCGCGCTCGGGGGCGGGGCCTCCGCATCAGGCTGGCGCCCGCGCTGCTGGGGGCGTCCGGAGCAGACACACCTGCCCGCGGCCCCGAGGACTCTGGCTCTGGAACTTCGTGGAGCGATTTCCTAGCGTTACTTTCTCAAGTAATGTTCGGGAATGAAGTTGCAGCTAAAGGGCTCTTTACAGATTACTTTTGGGCCGGGCACGGTGGCTCAGGCCTGTAATCCCAACCCTTTGGGAGGCCGAGGCGGGCGCATCACAAGGTGAAACCTCGTCTCTACTAAAAATACAAAAATTCGCCGGGCGTGGTGGGGGCGCCTGTAGTCCCGGCCCTGGAGGCTGAGGAAGGAGGATCGCCTGAACCCGGAGGTGGAGGCTGCAGTGAGCCGAGATCGCGCCCCTGCACTCCAGCCTGGGCGACAGAGCGAGACTCCCTCTCAAAAGAAAAAAGAAAAGTTTACTTTTGGCCGGGGGAGGTGGCTCACGCCGGTAATCCCGGCATTTTGAGAGGCTGAGGCAGGCGGATCGCCTGAGGTCAGGAGTTCGAGACCAGCCTGGCCAACATGGTAAAACTGCCCCCATCTGTACTAAAAATACAGACAAAAATTACCCGGGCCTCGTGGCGCGCGCCTGTAGCCCCAGCTACTCCGGAGGCTGAGGCAGGAAATCGCTTGAACCCGGAGGCGGAGGTTGCAGTGAGCCGAGATCGATCGCGCCATTGCACTCTAGCCTGGGGGACAGAGCGAGACTCCGTCTCGTAAATAAATAAAGACTACTTTTACGTTTCGTTAAACTTTCACTTCTTCTTCTTTACGTTGTACGAACCTTCGTAAAGCTTCAGATCCTGGCCAGGGCGTCCGCTGATGGCAGCCTCCTTCCCCAGGCTTTCCCGTGGGGCCCGCAACACGGTTGGGCCAGAGACTGGGACTGTTTCCTCCCGCGGGGTCTTTGGTGGGGATGTCCCAGAGGAGTGGGGCAGGAGGAGGGGCGCGGAGCGCCCCCGGGAGCCGGTCAGGGCGCGGTGATGGTGCCTGTGGTCCCAGCTACTCTGGAGGCTGAGGTGGGAGGATGGCTGGAACCTGGGAGGTCGAGGCTGCAGTGAGCTAGGATCACACTCCAGCCTGGGCGACAGAGTGAGAACCTTGTCTTAAAAAAAAAAAAAAAAAAAGACCGGGCGCGGTGTCTCACACCTGTAATCCCAGCACTTTAGGAGGCCGAGGCCGGCGGATCACAAGGTCAGAAGATCTGGACCGTCCTGGCTAACACGGTGAAACCCCGTCTTTACAAAAAATACGAAAAAAAAAAAAAGCTGGGCATGGTGGCGGCTGCCTGTGATCCCAGCTACTTGGGAGGCTGAGGCAGGAAAATCGCTTGAACTCAGGAGGTGGAGGTTGCAGTGAGCCAAGATGGCGCCACTGCACTCCAGCCTGGCCATAGAGTGAGACTCCGTCTCAAAAAAAAAAAAAAAAAGGAATAAAGAAAATTATAAAAGACTCAGAAGTGAAATTAACGCAGTGGGGTGCAATCTGCCTGGTGCCTGAGTTCACGATCCACACGGAGTTCATAAATTTGAGAGCAGTTTACAAAGTAGATTTTCCTACTTTGCAGGAAACCCAGAAATGTCTGGTGATTTGCCCACTAGTCTCGGCTGTTGTGGTCAGCAGGGTCGCTGTAGTATCCAAATGATTTCAAAAGCAGATTTATAAAAAGTACTCTTTTTTTCTTTTTTTTTTTTTTTGGGACGGAGTTTCGCTCTCATCGCCCGGGCTGGAGTGCAGTGGCGTGATCTCGGCTCACCGCAACATCTGCCTCCTGGGTTCAAGCATTCTCCTGCCTTAGCCTCCTGAGTAGCTGGGAATACAGACGTGCGCCATCACGCCCAGCTCATTTTTGTATTTTTAGTAGAGACGGGGTTTCGCCCTGTTGGCCAAGATGTTCTCCATCTCCCGACCTTGTGATCCACCCACCTTGGCCTCCCAAAGTACTGGGATTACAGGCCCGAGCCACCGTGCCCCACTTCTCTTTGCTATATTGCCTGGGAGGCGTGTATTAATAATTTTAATTTTAAATTTCTTTTTTTTTTTTTGAGACAGAGTCTCGCTCTGTCACCCAGGCTGGAGTGCAGTGGCGCGATCACGGCTCACTGCAAGCTCCGCCTGCCGGGTTCACACCATTCTCCTGCCTCAGCCTCCCGAGTAGCTGGGACTACAGGCGCCGCCACCTCGCCCAGCTAATTTTTTTTTTTTTTTTTTTTTTGTATTTTTAGTAGAGATGGAGTTTCACCGTGTTAGCCAGGATGGTCTCAATCTCCTGACCTCGTGATCCACCCACCTTGGCTTCCCAAAGTGCTGGGATTATAGGCATGAGCCACCGTGCCTGGCACTTCTTAGCTATTTATATTGTTTCTTGAGTCATCGGTTTCTGCCCTTTGACAATTTTTCTATTAGTGTTTTGTGTTAATTCTATGAGCTTTGTATTGAGAACATCGAGCTGTTGTATTATTGCACATGTTTTCCTGCCTGCATGCCGTTGTCATGTATTTCAGTGAATTTCTATCCACACGATGTGGAGTCAGTTAGGAGTCAGGAAACCTCGCTGTGTGGGAGGCTGATGGGTCCAGGCGCTATTCAAACCTCCAAAGTGCATCCCTGGTTCCCGGGACCTCCCGGGTTGTGCTGCCTGCGACATGGCTGGGTAGAGTCCTCCACACGGTCCTCCCTGGCCTCCCTGCTGACCTCAGGGCAGGGTCTCCCCAGGCTGAGGGGCCCGTGGGCTGTGGGATTCCTTTCCTCTGCCTTCAGGGCCTGGATGATCTTCTAGAAGGCAGGAAGGAAAGAGGTCATGGCTAGCTCTGTTCTGCCCCCTTCTGGGTCCCCCCAGCCCACAGGCTCCTCCATGTCCCCCAGCCAGCCTCAGTCTGGGTCTGGGCTCCCACTCAGCAGGGAGGGTGAGACCTGCCAGCCCAGAGGAGCTGAAGTTTCCCAAGGGGCGTTGAGGACAGCAGGGAGGTGTGGGGTGTGAACAGAGGGCCCAGAGAATGGGGTCTGTGCCAAGGCCCCATGGATGGGGAGGAAGCGGGGAGGGTCCCCACCTGGAGACCCAGCCTGCAGGCCACTCGGTCACCTGTCCAGCGGTGGGGGAGCAGCAGCCGCTCATGCCCCTGCAATTTGTCCTCATCAGCAGGTGGGGAAAGAGGCCGGGGAGTTCTCCAGGCCAAGGTCACTCATGGGCAAGTTCCCGCAGCCTTCAGACCCTCCATACTCAGGGCCACCCATGCTTTCCTGGGCCCTTTGCTGGTTTGGAGGAACCGTCCTGTTTCCCAGAGCGCACTGCGTGTCTGAGTGTGTGCGTCTCAGTGGTGCCCACGCCTATTTTTCTGTGTGGTGTGTCTGTGTGTGTGTTTGTCCATCTTTTTGTCTGGCCTCCTGTCCCCTCTGCAGAGCAGCTGGGTGGGGATCCTGGTCCTGGGGCTTATCAGCAGGATATGGGCGTGGGGCAGCCCTGGTGAGGCCGGAGCACAGGCCCCAAGTGCCTCCTGCACAGGGTGTCCGAGCCAGCTCCTCTGTGGCTCCTGGGTCCCCACCACCCCTCACTGGGTACTGCCTGTCCTGGCCACCCACTCCTGCCCACCCTGCTCTCCGCAGGGGCCTCCTTCCTCTTTCCGGTGCGTGTCCTGGTGGTGGAGGCTCCTAAGGAGGTTGTGGCCTCAGTTTACTGCCTGCCTTGGCTCCTTGGTGTTACCAGACCCTGAAGGCAGCCTATGCCCTGGTCAAGATCCTTCTGGGGCGGGATGTGCTGGAAACGGCTGAACCACGCGGTGACGTACCAGCTCCTGCCGTCCCCGACATCCCCAGCACTGCCAGCCTTCCCTGGGCTCCTCCGGCCAGCTCCTCTGCCATACCCTCCCCACCCTGCTCTCCCCCAACCGGACTTCCGGCTCCAGGGTCGCAGCCTCCTGGGCTCCCAGCAGAACAGGCCTCACCAGACCCCGCAGAGGCCACAGGAATTGGGCTGGGTCTTTGTGCCTGGCTGCAGCACCTTCTGACCTGACCTGAGGAGACACCATGGCTGTGGGAGGCAGGGTGAAGGTGCCAGGCCCAGCACAGAGGTGCCCAGGGTACAGGCTGGAGCTGGCCCGGCAGAGACCCTGGATGCCGCCGCTTCAGGATCGAAAAGGTTTCCAAGCCCCAGGCCTGAGCCCGGCAGCCCCCGAGGATGTCTTGGGGCCTCTGTGCTCCCGAAAGCTGGGAAGCTTAAGGCTTGATCCACAGCCTCTTCCAGGCCGGGGAGACAGAGGTGCTCCAGGTCAGTAGGGAGGGGCCCACAGCCCAGGCTTTCACATCCCCAAAACGGTGCAGGGTGCTGGTGGTGCAGGTGCCCATGGGGTGGTCATTCTGGTCTCTCCTGGCCTTGCACGCATGTAGCACAGATTGGCTCCGGGCAAAGCCTTGAGCCACATTCATCTGGGCCTTGTTAGGACAACAGGGATGGTGTGGGGTTGCGGTGTTGGGGGGTTGCGGGGAGGACCACATCACTGGAGGGAGGGAGGCCGATGTCAGTGCCCAGGCTGGGCCCAGGGGACAGCAGGTCCTCACCTGGCTTGTGGCTGCCCCTGAGTTAGGCAGCCCGGATGGAGGGGCCCTTCCAGCCCTGCTGGCCCCGGGGATGCAGGGACTCAACTCCCCCTGGTCTCAGTGGCTCTTCCAGGAGAAACACAGCCTGCCCGAGGCAACACCACCCCACGATTTTGAGTCCCTCTGTCTACCCCTCCCCCTGCCAGGGCAGTGCCCCCTTGCCCAGAAGAGCCAGCGGCACTCCCAGCCC